TAAGGTAACTATATGACATTTACACAAAGGTCATTATATACGAAAATAAGGTAACTATATATAAACTTCAGGTAATTATAAAGTCGTTATAAATAAAAATAAGCTAATTATATTCATTTTTACTACATTTTAAAAAGATCACTACATGTAAGCCTATGTAGGATTCGAACCCACATCATGTGCAATGCAAGTGCACAATGCACGACCAATTAAGCTAATAGGCTTCCGGCACACAAAAACAATATACTCCATAGCTATTAACTCATTGTGATGTGAGGAGAGCAGTAGGGATACATCACTGTTTCAAAATTGGGCCTCCACCAGTTAGCAACACACTCACCAATCTGCAAAATCACATAATTTAGACCCAAATATTTTTAAGGTATACGAAGTATGTCTCTACAAGAAATTTGCTTCAAATCAACATTTCAGAATAACATCAAAAAGAAAAAAGAAGAGTGTTCGAGACAAATAATCAGAAAGAATATCACACAAAGAACACAAAAGTATCACACCTGCCAATTATGTGGAATAAGCATGCAGTCCAAATGAACGCATTCCAAGTGTCCAAACAAATCATGTTGATTTCAGGCAGAAATTTGAGAATTTAGAAAAGCTTGCAGGAATGATAACATCATCAATTTTTAGCCGAAGGTGTTCTTGGGCTGTTATCCTCATGTTTTCAGCAGCCTTTTCATGAAAAAGATAGATTCTTCTGAAATTAATAAGGCTGTATCCCATGAAAGCTTATTAACTATCTAGCAAGAGAAAAATTCATATACCTTTGGGTTGCTTGGGCAGATTTCCATAATATTGCAACGCATGCTTCAGGAATGTCAAAAGGGAAATAATAAGGTAAGCATGTATTGGAAAATGATGAAGGAATTTGAATAATAATAAGAAACCAAAAATAGACAATAGATGCGAAGAAAACCTAGCAACATAGAAAGCAGGATTCTCAAGCATAAACAATTTATTGCAGCAACAGATGGCCAGAGCTCCCCCGAAACCACCTTCACTGGTGACTATTGAGATGACAGGAACTCTCAGTCCAAACATAGACCTTATGTTTTGAGCTATAGCTTCACCCTGCGCTCAGAGAGACAAATCATTTCATCCTCATTACCACAGGTTTAGTCAATATAAACTTAAAATAAACTAGTAGTTGTCTACTCACCTGACCAAGTTCCTTAGATTTGAGATCAGCATAAGCTCTTGGCGTGTCAATAAGTGTAATTACGAGAAAACCATGATGATCGGCATACTTCAATTTTCTGTCTCCTTCACATGTAGAAATCTGTTTAATATTTGCAATGGAAGCCTCAATATATGCAATGGAAGCCTCTTTATAAAGCCTTAAAAGTACTAAACATAAGGAAAATATAATCCAAGAATTTATACAATTTCACCAAGTTCAGCTTGCTAGTTCCCAAAAATGTAACCCTATTTCTCATCTTTACTCTGCATCAAAATGCAAGGCAGTACAATCACAAGAAACAGATGCTAAACTACTCGAATTCCCCCATGAATCCGTGACAACAAACCGACCAAGCAAAAGGCACAATGAAGAGCTCAAGATTGCTCTAATCCCCAATTTTACATAAATTCAAGGGTCACAAACTCACAATACATGACACATAAAATCTAAAAACAATTAAATGCTTGAATCGACAAAATTCGCATGCTATTCAACAAATTTCGAATCCAAACAACAATTTATATTTCATAACAAAAACATTCGAGCAATTAACTAGAAATAAACCCTAGATTGTGAAATTGATAGTCGATAATTTAAGAAATACTACCTGAGAAGCCGCTTCAATGGAGAAGAAAGCTCAAACTCGCTTCAATGGAGGATCGAGAAAGCTCAAAACTCGCTTCAATGGGATGAATATTCAGCGACGAAAATGATTAACTCACATAATTGATTGTTGAAACGCAAAACTCACTTTTCAGGTTTAATTTTGAAGCTAAAGACGAAATTGATGAAGATTGAAGCAAATTATTGATGAAGATTGAAGCAAATTCCTCTGAAATTTGATGATTTTTTGGGAGAAGGATAGAGAACCAGTGAGATCGTGAGATTGAAGAAAGATAAAAATAGAGCAGAGAGAATGGACGGTCAAGATTACAAATAACGCGAATGTAATCTAATCCGTCACATGAAAATTCAATGGTCTAGATCATCTGTTTTCAGTTTTCAACTTTAAGTTTGTTTTCACATGATCCAATCTATATATATTATATATATATATATATATATATATATATATATATATATATTATACTACAGTTAGAGTTGATCACACTAAGCTTAGTTCGATTTTAGGCGGGTTTTGGGCAGAATTTTTCAGCCTGAAATCGGGTCGGGCCCAATTCGGCCCGATTTTTAAAAAATTTTGGGCGGGTTTGGGAAATGGATTTAATTGATTTTATTTGTTTTTTTTGCCCGGCCCAAAATTGGTCCGAAAAGCCCGCATGACCCGACTAGTTTGGGCGGGTTTGGGCACATATTTTTCGGCCCGAAGCTTGGCCCGACCACCCGGCCCGAGGAATGGGTGAAATTTTCTGACCTCGACCCGACCCGCCCAATGATCACCTCTAACTACATTATAATTTTGCAGGTTGTTCGGTTCATTTGTGAATACAAGAATATATAGGCATTATCAATTGCGATTGTTGAGGTATGCTTTATAATTTTTCTTCTAAATTTTAATTTCCTTTGTTTGGTCAGTAAGAAGTTGTAAATATTCCGCTACATGTAAATATTGTCGTGATTATCGAAGCTCTCAAAGATGCAAGGAATAAAAATCTCATTTAATAGAAGAGTTACGAAGTACTCCATCCTTTTATAGTAAGTTTTTTTGTGTGATTTAACAAAATTACTCTTACTTTTTTTTAACACCCTAATTAAACTACTGTTTTTATCTTATTAACTTAAACCCTACATTGATTAACTTAACCATTTCCACCAAAAATCATTCCCTTCCCAATTAAATTTATCATCACCTTCAATTGCCAAACACCACCGCTACCATCACCACCACCGATCTCCATTATGATTTTAATTATTGCGAGCGTGATCCTTTGCTCAGGTTTTTTCGCGGTGAGTCGGACTCACCAAACCCCAACAGCGGTATCGGAGCCCCACTCGTTTATTTTTATTATCATGTTTTTTCAAGGTTATTTATGGCTTATAATTTTAATTTTTTGGTTTTAAGTTGCTAATTAGATTAGTGGCTCGGTTTTATTATTTTAATCCCGTTTTTAAATGCGAAATTGGCCCAGAACCCTGATTTTTGCCCTGAAATAGTGAATTTTGGGTGGAAAAAACGTTCTGGAAATGTTTTCATCCTTTTGGGGCTGTGATTTTAGCTAAATTCGAACCAGAAATGCCGAGGGATTTTTCGTTTTGACAAAATTTTTTTAAGTCTTTCTTACCTTGAATTTGATGGCATAATATATGGTGATTATGTATTGATTTATTTGCATTATTTTTCTGCAATGTTAATCTCTTTAAAGCATATTTACTTGGTAGTATTTTGTGCTTAAAAGATTGATTATTTTTCACCTAATTGCAAACTAATTGCATTGTATTGTGAAATCTTTGTTTTTGAGGCTTCCAAAGTGCTAAAGATTCAATCTTTAATTATTTTAAGTGATTGAAACTTTAAAGTTACTAAATTCCATGAATTTTATGTTGAACTTTGTTGTTTTAATCATTTTTGGTTGATTGGAAACATAAAGTTTCAATCTTGTGATAGAAATTTGTTTATCTTCATATTGGAAGATATAATTTTTTCAAGAATTCACAAGTGTTAGAAGTTGGATTTATCATTTGAACATTAAAGTTCATAATTTTCCAACTCCCTCTTACTTTGTTAAAATCTCAAGATTAATTTAAATTGATTAAATTAATAGTGAGAGGTTGCCTTAATTATTTTATTGTACCAAGTTAAACTAATTTATTAAAGAATGGTTCTTGGAATAATTTTGGTTGAATGCACTTTGAATAAATTTTATTTAAGTTAGACTTGTTTAAATTTTTTCATTTTGCTCATTGAATTAGTTCTAAAAGTAATTTAGAATTAATAATTTGTCACGCAAAATTGGGATTGAAATCCCGAGACTATGGCACGTAAAACGAGGTAAAAACCTCACTTGGCTAGCTGGCTGCATAGCAGCCCACATGTGGCTGCCAAGGAGGCTACCCCTTCTTGCTTGTGGCCATGTGCGTGGCTGCTACTCGCTGTCAGCAGCATGGCGTGCCAGCCAGTAATAAAGCAGTAACACAGCACAGTAGCAGCATGGTGCTGTGCGTGCTGCCATGCTTTGCTAACCGCCGACAGGTGCGAGCACGAGCAAGAGTGTGTGTTCTTTGTGTTGTGTGGTGTGCGGGGGTGTGCTGCGATACTTGCGGCATGGTGCGCATAGCTAGCAAGCTTGTGCGGCCTCGTGGCTTGTGTTCTTGCACGCTCCGTAGAAGAGTCGACACCCATGCGGTAGTCTAAGCTATGTGTGTGACGCTTAGCATGAGTCACGGCTATGCGGACCTCCCTTAATTAGCACATATACCACGTTTTAATGGCAGAATTGTTTTTGCATTTTGCCGTTTTATTTATTTTAATTAATCTTGTTTATTTTAATTAAAATTTTTGGAGACTAGGCCTCGGTTTTGAGCGGCGTTGGCAAATTTTGGGTTCTACCGGCTTAATTAATTGGATTAATTAAGTTGGATGCGGAATTTAGTGGGAGCTTCAATTATTAATTACGTCAATTACATAATCGGTTAAAACAACTTTGACTAGTTTTAATTAGGCGTGTTAATTGGATTAACCGCCTAGATTAGTTACTAGTGCGCGCATGTAATTTATGCATTGTTACTTGTTTATCGTTGTAAAATGCATGGACCATTCACAAAATAGTGAATGGATGAATGGAATGTATATTCTCTCACATGTTTTATGAAATGACAACTAGTAGGACCCGATTAGGATAGAAAATATGGATTACGTGTCGTGATGTATTTTTGTAAATCTAAATACAGTCTACGCACCGTTAAGTATTTTTGTACCTTAATATTTAGATTAGTCCTAATCGTAGATACTAGTAGTTGCATAATTTTGGTTAAGTCTTGAAGACAGAGGTTCTTGGAAGATGAAGCCATGAAGTTTCAAAAGAAGACCTTTTGAAGACTTGAAGAATTCAAGGGGTCATGCTAGTTTCCAATATGCATCATATACTTATGCTTTATATATTTATGCTTGTGCTTATATGTGTAGGGAATATTTCAAGCATTACCCCAAACTTGAACCCCACCGTGATCATACACTTAAGCATGGTGGCATCCAAATGTAAGGAAGCTAGAACAAAAGAGTCGCAAACAAGTTTTAGGAACTTGTAAACCGTTTACAGGGTGAAGGTTACACCCTTTAACGATCCAAGAGATCGTTAACTCCAATAGGGCTGGGACCGAGACTGGAATTTCGGGGATGAAGGTACAAATTCAATCTAAAAGAGAAAGAACCTGCCCTAATAATAGGCCTCTACTTTATTCTTCTCGTATTCATGTGCGCTTTCTGACTAACATGCAATCAATAGGTTAACCCTAAACCTGTTTAATCTATGTTGGTTGAATATTAATGCACAAATAAAACTATTATTGGCGATCACTTGAATTATAATCATATTATCCCTAAATAAGATTATTAATTATCGTATTAAGCGTGATTACAAGTACAAATTCCTTTTAAACATGCATAAAAGGTTGTGATCAAGCAATAACAATAAATATCAAGCAACATAATAATAATAATAATCATAATCACAATCATAATTAAAATAATCATGCTAACAATAAAGCATAATAATAGTAAGATCCTAGGCATGATACTAACAAGATTAATAACAAACCCTAGCATGTCACTAAACATTAAAAATCAAAGCTTTAGCCCTAACATGATACTAACATGATATTAGGAAAGAAAATAGGAAGCATCTGTAGACACCCATTTGTGTCTTCCCAAAACCAAACCCGGTGATGAGTACCTTTCACGTCGAATCATAATCGAATGAAGTGAAAGTGTAGAAAGTCTAGTATTGCGGATAGTTTTAATTTCTTTTCTATTCTCTCTGTTTTTGAAAACCTATTTTAATAAAGCAGCCGATCTAGTTTGGTTGGTCCAAGATATAGGTCCAATAGTAGTTTAGTTGTATGGGGTTTGAAAAGAGCTTTCCAATGATATATTATAAGCCCAATTCCGATGAATATTGAGGAAGTTATGGCCAAATTACTAAACTGGGTCCGGTTTGAGCCTTATATGCGGCCCAATGATCTAGGGGAGGGCCTAATATGGATTTATCATTCCTAATGCAATTAGGAATGGTTTTAGTCTTCTAGATTCTTCTAGAAGGTTCTTTTCATTCCTAATTCAATTAGCATTGATAAATTGACCTTTGTTGACTTTTTAGAGTTTTAATCAGAATAAAAGAATGTTTTTGAGGAAAATACGATTTTATCCTCCTGTACGGTTAATTTCTATCTGATTTTAGAAAACGCGTCAGAAATTTAATTAGCGCTAAACGCCAGCATTAGCGCCTGGCGCTAATGTCAGCGTTTGGCGCTAACCTTGTTTTTGCGCGTCAGAACTCTGGTTAGATTTTCTATCTTTTTGGCTGATTTTCTCTATAAATAGCCTCCTAAAAACTCCGTTTTCATTCATCTACAATCATCAACTCTCTCTAAGCTAAAGCTTCTCTCTCTCTCTTTTCTAAACCTACCTTTTTTACAAAATTCCGCATTCACAAGACCTAGATACACCTAGCATTATTTGAAGTTGCCTTCACCCTAGACGTGAAAGGTTTTAATTTTTGAGGGTTTGGTCCCAAATCTCTCTTTCAATTATTATTATTTAATTTAATTGTTTATTATTTTCCTTGAAGTTACTAAGGTGTGTATTTTTGTTATTCGAAAGAGGTACGAGGCATCCAAGTAAGTGCTTTAAAGGTTTTTATTGTTTACATTGTTATTATGATGTAGAAATTATGCTTAGGTTGTTATTATGATTCCTAGTATCATGTCTAGGGTAACTTTAATTCAAGTATGATTAAAAGTATGATGCTTCCTATGTTCTTCCTAATATTTTATGATTGTTGTATCATGTTAGGGTTAAAGATTTGATTTTTTATTGCTTAGTGACATGCTAGGGTTTGTTATTAATCTTGTTAGTATCATGCCTAGGATCTTGCTATTATTATGCTTTAACATTATTATGATTATTATTATGATCTATGATTATTTTTTATAATTATTTTTATGATTATTATTATGTTGCTTGATACATTATTTATTGTTATTGCTTGATCACACCTTTTATGCATGTTTAAAGGGAATCTGGTACTTGTAATCACGCTTAATAAGATAATTAATAATCTTGTTTAGGGTTAATATGATTATAATTCAAGTGATCGCCAATAATAGTTTATTTGTGCATTAAATTCAACCAACATAGATAAACATGTTTAGGGTTAATCCTAATGATTGCATGTTAGTCAGAAAGCACACATGAATACGATCAGAATAAAGTAGAGGCCTATTATTAGGGCAGGTTCAATCTCTTTTAGGTTGGATTTGTACCTTCATCCCCGAACTACCAGTCATGGTTCAAGACCTATTGGAGTTGACGATCTCTTGAATCGTTAAGGGGTGTAACCTTCACCCTGTGAACGGTTTACAAGTTCCTAAAACTTGTTGGCGACTCTTTTTGCTCTATCTTCTTTCCCTTTGAACGCCACCGTACTTTAGTGTATGATCACAGTGGGGTTCAAGCTAGGGGAAATGCTTGAAATATTCCCTACAACATCATAGAAATCATACTTGATATTAGAAATTTTAGTTATTACCCTAAACATAATACTAGGAAGATCAAAACACCCTAACATGATACTAGGAATCAATAAAATAATCTAAGTATGATTTCTGTAATCAAAATATTAATGAAACAATTAATTCACTAACTTGGATGCCTCGTATCTCTTTCTAATAACAAAATAAACAC